GGTGGCAGCCACTGGGTGCGAATCCGTTGCGCCCTTTACGGGTTGTGCGGCTCGGGCACCGCGGGAGTTGTGCGTGGGCCCCGCCGGTATGCGTCCGGCTGTGGTGCGAGGGGCGGGTGGGGGGTGCGTATCTCTTCTTAATTGCCGGAGGGGACTTTGTGTGCTCACTCCCACAGCACATGTGAGGCACATGAGTTCGGTGTGGCTTGCCGGTGGCGCCTCGCTGCGCCGTGGTCGTGTTTGCGTCTTCCCTCTTCTGACGGGTCGCCTTCACCGGGTTCCGTTCACCCCTCATTGATTTGCACGGAGTGAACGCACGTGTTTTTCCGCGTGCGTGGCGGTGGCAGTCCGAATCGGTGTTGCAGGTTGCGTTTGCGTGCGCTGCGGGAGGGTGCGGCGGTGGCGTTGGTTATATTTTCAGGTTTGTTGTTTGTTTGCTTGTGCGTTTGCTGCTTTTTGCCTGGCCACACGTCGTGTTCGCCAGAGTGGGGTTTTGTTTGCTGCCGGTCCCCGCGCCCCTCCCATGCACCCCATTTCTTTCGCCACTTTTTTTTTAGTTTGCTCTGCATTTGCGGCTCACTTTTTTATGGACGTTTTTTTGGGCGCCGCGTGTTTTCCTCCGTGCCTCGTTTTTTTGCTGCGCCCACCCGCCGCCGTCGGGGCGTGGCCGGGCGACGTGCTCGTGCACGCAATTGCCGCCAGTGCGCCCCTATTGCCTTTCCCCCGCAGCGCCGCCCGCGGCAGCACGTGTGTGGTGCAGACGGTCTGCGCGTCTTTGGGGGCGGTGTGCGGCCCTGCACCTGCATCTCTTTTTTTGTTCTTGCGTTGCCTCTGCCGTTCTTTCCCGCGGTGCCGAAAAGTGGCGGTGGGTCTGCGGTGCACCATGGTTGCCTTGCGCGAGCAGCGTGCCTTTGGGCGATTGCCCACGCAATCGTCAAAACGAGGGTCGGTGGTCCCAGGGCTGCACTGCTGTAGGGGTGTGGCGGGGCCGCCCTGACGGGTGAGGGGGGGGGCGCTCCCGGATGCGGCGGCCATCAGGTGCGGTGTGCTGCGCACGGTGGGGGAGTGGTGGCTGCGTCTGGTTTTTGTCACGTCGGTTTTGTGCGCCGCGGGCCCTGTCGCCACGACGGGGGCGGAGAGGTGCGGTCGCTGCCACACCGCGGGGTCCCGTGATGTTTTTGTTGTGCGCGGGATAATGCCACGTGCGGGTGTGGACTCTTTCTGGTGTCTGAGCGCCGGCAGTCTCTCTCCTTCCGGAGGCAACTGTACTCGCGTGGCTGCCTGCCTCTGTTATTGTTCAACGGCGCGCCTCTGCGGTGGGGGCTGCAGGTGCCGAGGGTGGGTGGCAGCAGTGGAACAAATCTGGCGTTGTTTCTTGTCCTTGTACGCCGTTGGCGTGGTTTGACGGTGACGCATATTTTTCCAGGTTTTGCCTCCGGTGTGTGCGCAAATGTTGTTTTGTCTCTGCGCGTGTGTGGCAAGTGAGAGCAAGCGGGAAATGGTGTGGCGGCGGCATAGGGGCCGTGCGGGAGGCAGGCCAAAAGAAGGGGCGAGGGCACGAGGGTGCGCCAGAGGTGCGAAACGACGCTGGACGGTGCTGCGGCGCTCTGCAAAACCTTCTTTGGGGCCTGCGCCCCCACGCAGCGGGTGGTGTGCGTCAGCGCGGGGAGGGCAGCCGCGCCTTCGCTGCTCACTCGTTGGGCGCTGGTTTGCCCATGCAGCCGCAGCGAGCAACACAGACCACACAGTTTTTTTTTTTGTTTGCGTGACGCCTGTGTGGGGGTGGGGCCGCCTTGGCGTTGCACCTCTCTTTCTTTAACTTTGCATCTACCCTGCGAACACAGACGGTATAAACACACAGACACACACACACACGATCGCACGCACACATCGTTCCACGCAGCGGGTACATGGTGGCGGGCGAAGCTGGCACGCGGGCGCTTTCGGCGATGAGGACTGTCGTCCAGTGGATGGCGCTGCTGCTGCTGCTGCAGTACGTAGGCAGCCACCCCTCCTTCACCGCAGCGGGAGAGGACGAACACGTGAGGGTTAAAATCAAGAAATACTTCAGCTTTCCTCATTCGGAGTTTATTATATATGACAGTCAGGTGACTTACGACCTTTCTTTGAGAATCTGTATCCTAGGCGGGGGACTGCTCACTGCGGATCAAACACCTGCTGCGCACGAGTCCATCACGGATTACATGAGACAGGTGGGAGACGTTGCCAATGGGGAGGTATTCACGTACATGGGAGGTGACACCATCTACAGCGTACATCGGGAGAAAGACCCCGACAAGATATGCCGTCCAGGAGTTGCTGAGGCATCGTTGAACTGTATCTTTGAGTGGAACCTGGGCGAGTTTGAGCACCCAGAGGAGACCTATCGTGGTGCTCAGTTTTTCAGAGGTTCACTGCACTCCCTCACTGGCGCAGGCCGAATGAACGGGTATGAGTCTTACTGGGAACATCATTACCCTGCACACGGTGAAATGTTTTTAATATCTCACTTGGATTTGAGGAAAAATACGACGGCAACGTGGTATGACGGGTCAGACTATGCT